GAACAGAACACGGTCCAGGTGTGAAATATGAACACAATGCTGTAGGCTGAAAAGCACCTGGGGAAACAACGTACTGCACAACAAAACCGGTTTTACCACAATTGACATGAAGAAGAGTTACGCTCTTCGCATTGGTTAAAGTCACAGTTTCCAAGAACCTATCAATAATGTTAAGTGGGACCGGGCTCACACCTGTAATCCCAGCACTTTGGGAGGCCAAGGCAGGCGGATCAGGAGGTAGAGTCTGAGACCATCCTGGCCAACATGGGGAAACCCCATCTCTACTAAAAATACAAAAACATTAGCTAGACATGGTGGCGGGTGCCTGTAGTCCCAGCTAGTCGGGAAGCTGAGGCAGGGGAATCACGTGAGCCCAGGAGGTGGAGGTTGCAGTGAGCTGAGATCGTGCCACTGCACTCCAGCCTGGGTGACAGAGTGAGACTCCGTCTCAAAATCATGATAATAATAATGTTAAGTGAGGACTTACCGTACTCAAATGTTCAGGTTTCAATATTTTTTTTTAAATCACTCATATCGATCAGCCTGGGCAACATGGTGAAACCCCATCTCTACTAAAAATACAAAAATTAGCCGGGTGTGGTGGCAGGCACCTATAATCCCAGCTAGTCGGGAGGCTGAGGCAGGGAATCACGTGAGCCCGGGAGGCGGAGGTTGCGGTGAGTTGAGATTGCACCACTGCATTCCAGCCTGGCGACAGAGTAAGACTCTGTCTCAAAAAATTAAAATAAAATAAAAAATTTAAAATAAAAGTTAAGTGAGGACTTACTGTACTCAAATGTTCAGGTTTCAATATTTTTTAAAAAATCACTCATACCAACCAGCCTGGGCAACATGGTGAAACTCCGTCTCTACTAAAAATATAAAAATTAGCCTGGCATGGTGGTGGGCACCTGTAATCCCAGCTACTTGGGAGGCTGAGGCAGGAGAATCCCTTGAACCAGGAGGCAGAGGTTGCAGTGAGCCGAGATCATGCTACTGCAGTCCAGTCTGGGAGACAGAGCAAGACTCCGCCTCCAAAAAAAAAGACAACAACAACAACAACAACAACAAAACCACTCATACCAAGAACCAGGAAGATCTCAAACTGAATGAAAAAAGAGAGTCCACAGATGCCATCACCAAGACGACAGGGATGTTACAATTGACGGACAGAGACTGTAAGACAGTCATCACAAAAACGCTTCAATGAGGCTGGGTGCAGCGGCTCATGCCTCTAATCCTAGCACTGTGGGAGGCCAAGATGGGTGGATCACCGGAGCTCAGGAGTTTGAGACCAGCCTGGGCAACATGGTGAAACCCTGTCTCTACTAGCTGGGCGTGGTGGTGAGCACCTGTAATCCTAGGTACTCGGGAGGCTGAGGCAGAAGAATCACTTCAACCTGGTAGGTGGAGGTTGCAGTGAGCCAAGATCATGTC